TAAAAAAACCCCAAAGACAAGCAGTGATATTTCTATTTCTGCACTAAGAGCTCTACCTGATCAATCAGCTCTCAAAGAACTGAAAACCTGATGGTGTGGAATGACCTGCAGGATTGGGCCTGAATGAGAAAGCATGAAACAAAATGCACAAATGAGCTCACCATGGCCAGACGAATTTCAGGCTCCTGAAAAAGCCTGCTGATCTCAAGGTTGATCTCCAGTGTTTGCTTCAAGTATCTTTTTCAGTCACCCGACCTCCCTCACTGAAGTGCTCAGACCCCGCCTGTCTCTTTGATATCCGAGCACTTGGCACACATCACTGCTGCACCAGCACTTGGGAGGCCTGGGAAACTCTCGGCTTTGAGGTGAACCAGGAAAGAGAGATAAGAGCGTGGACACTGGAAAGAAGGGGAAGGAGTTGGCAAGCCCAAGTATTCTGTTAGCATCTGAACTCGCCAAACCATTTTTGATGAAAAGATTCCAGCAAAATTATTATTGTTATTTTATTACAGCTAAAGTGTCTCAGCAAAATGTAATTTTTGCCATGACCCTGAGCAGGAAGGATACACACACATGCCTTTCAGATGCAGTCCCTTGCTCTGTCAGAATAACAAGAAACTAAAACCTCCCTGAATCAGAGCAGTAAGTTGAATCTCCAGTGCCACTACCAGCTGCTCTGACAAGCAGGCAGGGACGCCTCTTCACATGCATTTACAGAACATGCCTTTGGGGTGAACCCTTTCAAAAGGTTTTGCTTATGTTCCAAATCAATTTAATCTTCCTTACTTGAACCACAGTACTTAAACCACCATCCTCTATTAACAGGAGCTTTATTAGCACAGAAGTTGCATTTGCATTTACTTCCAAGGGGTACTGCAGGAGCTGTCTGCTAGGACAAGATAAAGCACAGTGATCACAGCTGCATGTGGCCAGGACAGTTAAAAGGACAGGGTTTGCCTAAACAATGAAGACTCAGCCCCAGAATCAGGTTCAGTAGTTTGTTAAAAAGAACTTGTACTGGGAAGTACTGTAGCTGTTACTGGAAAACGAAAAGAGGAGAGTGTGACAATTTTGCTTTAAAATAATAAAATAAATATGACAGTTGATACATTTTTGCCTCACAGAAGAGATTTTGTAGACAACAAAAAAACCCCCACAACATTTGTAAAACTGCACAATAAAGTTTTATAAGACACAGCTGAAGAACTTCAGCTTTGTACATTAATTAATTCAAACATGTACAATATGAGACAAATAATGGGAATGTAAGTTTGTACTTATTTCCAGAAAATAGATTCATTTGACAAACAATGTTCCAAGAGTAAACAAATGCTGTAATGCAGTTACTTCAGAGCAAATGCACGTCAAGCTACTGCAGTCCTATACGTTGTACTTCAGCCATCAACAGCCAATTCATCTGCTGTGTAGCCAGGACACTTCATTTACAACATGTGTAACAGCACACGGATGGTAAGATGCAGAAAGCAATGTACGTAAGATAAAATGTTACAAAACACTTGTCAAAATAAAATATATATGCAAGTCATCCCTAGTATTTACAACAAATAGTTTTAAATTAGAGATCGTTCAGAAGGCATCTCCTACATACAAATGCCACACGTATAGAAAACACGCAGAAAGGCAAAGAAAGATACTGTGTTAGTTATGGCTAAAGACCTTTGGCTCCAAAACTCCGTTATAATTATTTCCAAAAGACAACTAAAATGTGGAGCATCTGAGTAGTCTGTCTTTGAACTCTGTTGTTACACTGACCACTAAAGCTCAAAGTGAAATTCAGCATGACAAAAGCCACTTGTAAAACAATCTTGTTATTTTATGCATCAAACGCTCCGAGTTAGATGCAATTATGGTTTGGCATTATCCTGACTCAGTGGGAACACATTTGAGGACAATTATATTTTACTGCATCTCATGCACAGTCTGAGGTTATCTGCTCAGCAGGCCATCGGGAAGGCTCTGGCTGTGCTTTATCGAAATGAGGCACAAATGTGCTTAGTAGTTGCCCTAGAACTTTTTATAGTAATTTAAAGCATATGAAAGGGAGAGGAAAAGATGTTACCGTCCCACCTTTCTCATCATCTGTAAGTTTTGTCATCAAGAGGATAAGGGCAAGAGTTGCTAGAATGCAAACTTTTGCAACTTATTTGCAACTCTTTTTCCCCAAAGTCTAAAGTCAGGCTGAACCCCAAGTAAATATTTGACTTAATTGATGGATAATGTAATTGTGTGTTTTCATTTAACTGTAATTTGTTTAAAAGGTTACAGTGTAGTCTAAATTTGGCCTGCCTTGTTACATTTTAACTTAATCTGTTTTAAGGTCAGATTGCAAAGAAAGACACAGAGAATACTGTAAAACAACCATGTCTATATGTAGAGTACAATATGTAAAATTGTCACGAGTAATCTGCACCATGAAATATTTGCTTTTTACTTCTCTGCAATTCACTTCTTGAGAAAAATCCTGCTGCATCCAAAACCATAAGCAAACATTTCTGTTCATTCTTAGGGCTAAGGCACCAGCACTACTACGTGGGAAGAGCCTTCATGGGCACTGACATGTCAGAAGATCAATCCCAAATCTCCTTTTTTTTTTCCAGCAATGCACAGAACTGAGCCCTGGATGGAAGCAGGTTTTAGCAAAGACAAATACATAAGTAAGTGTGGATTTCATAATGTCTCCAGGTCCAGCTGCGAAAGTTTCTGGGTGAGCACTGCAATCCAACTTCAGACATTTTTTTGCATCTAGAACAAATCTTTCAAAATGTGATTATGAATAACATCGTCTCCACTTCCACAGGACATGCATTACTTTTGTTTTCAGGCCTGAATGTGGCAAATACCCACAAAAAATGGGCATGGAAGAAACACAAAAAGGGTGCTCATTTAAGGGGAAGGGCATGATTTGGAATTCTGCTCCTCATGTTTAAATTGAGCATTTAGAATTATCTTCAAAAAAACTCTGAAAGGAGATGGCTTGTTTTAAATACCAAAAGAAAAATACAACCCAGCCAGCTTTTTCACCAGCTAGCTTTTTCACTAACTTTCCTGTGCATTTTCTTTAAGCTGGATCATTGAAAACCTCACTGCGTATTTCCAGTTCCTGTTTCAGGTCATCTTCCATCACTATGGGAAAGCAGAAGCAAAGGAGTTCACTATGCAGTGAACAGTTCGGCTGAGCATCACCAGACTTTGCATTATTGTTGAGCTATATACACAAGGCATTTGAAATGTACAGTTCTCAAAAGATGTCATTTAAAATCAAAACTACAAACCTGGGGTTTGCAGAAGTTGCCACAAAGTTATCAAATCACAGAATCTAGTGACTAGTGGGCTTCACAACACTGATGATAAATAAAAATATAGAGGTAACAATAGTAGTAGGAACAAAGACATGTTTAAAATAAGGCTTTTTTACACTGTTGTTAAGATGCCTGGCCTCTAGCCCCTTGCTTGTTCTTCATATGTAAGATTCATGACAAAGCTGATTGTGTCCACTGTCAAAGAATACCCTTGGATCTGTCCTTATCATCAGATAATGCCCCTAATCAGCAGCATAGGATAAAGTATTGTAAAGACATTCATAACAAATCAGTTCTGAAACATATGGAGTCTTTCTTCTCTTCCGTATTACCAACAGTCTTGTCATCCTTAGAGAGAGTTATCAAGCAGAAATTATCAGTGCTGCAAGTATCAAGATCCTGTTTCCTCCTGGTGGGTTTTTAAAAGTTACTCTCCCAAATCAGCTTCATGTCATATGTAAATTGTAGCAATGCAAATCATGTATTGCATTTGCTGGCTAGAGCTGACCTTTATCAAGTCAGGTTCTTCCCCTTCTGGCACAGACTGATGACTCTGAGACAAAAACCCATCTCTGGTCCACACGACTTCTCTGTCTCTTCCAGTAAGGATTTCTCTTTCATTGTGAAGACATAATTGGTCAAAACCCACTGTCAATTGACTGTGTATAAGAAGCATGGATCCAGACCACTTCAATATATTTACATTACCATTAAGTCAAGCTATATGAATACAAAGTGTGAGAACTATGTAACATAGCCAGCAGTCAGCACATACTGTCTCAACTCTGACTTTGTACATTCACATTATCTCCATTAAAAAATAAAAAAATACTTTTTACACAGCGAAATAAGCATATTGGAAATATAAAGAAGCATCTCCCAGGCTAAGAAGTGCACAAAAAGTGATAGAAAAGCTCTACACTGAAGAGCATACATGCATGCAGTATATTGCTGTGACTGAAAGTAATCAATCTTAGATGCCCTGGGCTCCTCTTGTTTCATTTGTGTGCAATAAATGCACATATCTTCATAGTCCATTTTGTCCTCTGTTCATGTTTCTATATGACAGAATAAAGTTTCCCTGTTCCAATCTGGAATACGGTAAGGCCTTGCGGGATGTTCTCCTGCCATTTGGCAATTTGATAGAAAAAGACAAGAAGGATTAGAGTCCACCAAATTCTGCAACGGGATCTCTCCACCTGATTTTAATGGGCAGTCTCTGCTCAGTACTCCAAAAAGGAGGAGAAAACTCTCCTAAGATTCTTTGCTGATATACCTACCCTTAAGGAAAAACTCCTCTCTATCCTAAATTTGGCCATCAATATAAGATTAAGAAAAATGAAATGTTACAATGACCTGCATGATTCCATCACTACTTCAACATAACTAAGAAACAGGATCAAATACTGCTGCTTCAGAGTAACAGCAAGTTGTCTTTGTCAGAAGGGAAACTGCTCTTCATCAGCAATGCTGATATTTGGCAACATTGACTTCAGAGCAGTGTTGAGGAACTTCACTCTTCTTCTGGACAAAGGTGGTACTTCTGGCTCAAGGGAGCCCACAGTTTTCCCTCCAAAACCGGAGGTTCACTGAGCTCAAATAAGCTTAACTGTGCCTCCAAGGCCCTTCTCTGGAGTAAGTCTCCCTCCGCACCAATACCCTTCCCAACTCCTTGGCCTCTCACTTCTTGAAGGGGGTGAGTTTGTTGAAGGTATGCCAGAAGAGGGATGGCTTCCGCTTGGGTTCTGCCAGGGCGAAAACCTGCTGCTGTGGGATGCTGGTAGGCACAGTGATGTGGCGCTGGTGAATAGGATGCAGGCTTTGATGTGGTGGAGGCACAGGACACCCATTGTAGCTTACACCTGCAAAAGGAATGGTTTGAGAAAGCGTATGAGTCAGACAGCAGAGCAACCAATACCGGGAAAGTTCAAGCACAGGACCATGGGATAAATTCAATGGTCAATAAAGCCAGTATGAATTTTTCCATGATCTTGAATGGAAGCACTACTAAAGGTTACCTTTTCTATGTTAGACTTTTTAATTGCTGCACTGATTTGGCTTAAGATGAGAATAATACCACTAAAAATAACATTACAGAATTACCAAAAGTAAGCAGCATTTTCACATAGCCTGGCCATATTTGCACAAGTAAATTCTGGTATTTCAAAGGAATGACTTAACAGAGTAGATACTAATATCTCAGAATAAGGCTGGGTAATATATTGCTACCAACAAGAACGTTATTTCTTCAATTTGGAAAATATTTTTCCAGGCTAATGTTCTCAGACTTGAACCTTTTTGCATTCTGATCAGAATCTCCTGATCACAATTTTCAGCCCCTCCCCTGAAAATCTGGACAGGTTGTATAGGTATGTAGCAACTGATAAACAGAAAATACTTTAGTAATATTAACCCCAGGGAGCAGAGGACTACCTACATCAACTCCTTCACTTCTAAATTCAGACTTAATCTGGTCCCACTCGCTCAATTTGTTCTCTCAGCACACTAGAGATTTATTCAAATAGGACTTTAAGATGAAAATGGACAAAATCATAACACATTTTCTGATAGAGAAAAGGAACAAGAAGTCCGTCCTTCCCTCTAGTCTAGGACAGAAGGAAGCCATTTTGAGTATGTTGTAACATATGCAGCAATATGTGGCAAAAAGAACTTCAGGAAATTTTAAACAAAGCCCAGAATTGCTAAAGAAGAACAAGCTGTTTGAGTAAAAGCAAAGAAAAGAATCAGTAACTCTCATCTCTGATTTAATCTCTGAGTGCACTTCCCTACATCCTTAAATAAGCCGCCTGCCTTACCTCTTGAGTTGCTTCTCTAATAAAGTTAACACTGACTTGCCTGTCTGAAGGAGACTGGGGAGCTGATTCAGTAGACAGTTTACAAAGGCACTGGAATATGGTATTAAAATACAGGTTGATGGAAATTATTTGACCTCCATGTAAACCATAGAATTTTTTAAGAGATTGAAAACTCAACCATAGAGAAATTGTGCTATTTCAAACATGAAGAACACTGGAACACAGTGAGAATATAAATCAGTTCTGAACACTCACCTTTAATTTTTCCTTGCCTTGACTTTCGGGCATTCTGCATGGCTTGTTTCTTCTGGTTTTCTGAGATTTCCATTCCTATGTCAAAGTGTAAATTAGGGCACTGGTATAAAAATACTGTATCTAATACTTGATTACATTAAATTAAAAGAAATAAATAAACTATATTTTAACCAATTTTAGTAAATCTTAATAGCAATATACCTGAAGTTTTTAGAAGTATATTTAACTTTGTAATATAAATTTAAAGATAATTTTTCACTGGGATAACAATAGGAACATTAAAATTAATTTGCCTGTAGATTACTGGGAAAAGCTGCTTTCCAGTTCCTGCAAATTACAATCATTGAGGAACTAACCACACAAAAAGTTCTTTTTATAGTTAAGTCCAGATAACAAGAGATTAAAAAGAAGTGTAAATGGATACTTTGGACAGCTACAAGCCATGAAGTAAGAGATCACAAATGCAGAACCTGTTTCTGTTTCCATTCACTCTGAGCTAACTTGGAGTAACAAACTGAAGTCACTGGTACTGCAGAAATACAAATGTGGGAATCTTTAAGTACAAACTTGGGAATCCTTCCCCCCACTCAGAGAGGACAGTATCACCTAACCTGCCAGACACCGAAGCAGGCTGTGATGTGGCTGTGGCTGCATCAGACTGGGGCTGGATACCTCACTCTATTTTCTCATGTCCTTGTTTGCATACTTTGTGTGACTTACATGATGCTATAGTACAGGGTCAACCTTATGCTATTTACTGTCACGTGAAGGTGTATGACTGATCTGTGCTGAATCGAAATGCCAGGCATCTGCTACAAAAGGTGGCACCAGTGACTGGTGTTGTCTGGAGCCCACATACAGGCACTCCAGTTTCCTCTCCTTGTGTACAAGACATTAAGAATCACAGATATGTTACGTTGGCACAAGAGCCAACAGGGTGCACATGCTGCCACTCATTTCACTCATACGCACATAAGGAGCACAGAAGTTGTGATTCAAAGTTGGAAGGAAGCATCTGGTTTGGTTCCATTTTGCATCTCCCCACACTTTTCTATACTTTTAAAATTCCCTTTACTTTTTTAGCCTGAACTTATGAAGAAGTTATTGCAAATCAGCTTATTAACTTATAATACAACAGCAGTTAGCTGTAACTTTGGGGGAGCAGAAGTTCATTTTATTCTGCACGGGTTTTTTTCTTTTATAGAAACAAGGAAAGAGATTTAAAAAAAATGTAAGCAATTTCATCAACAGAGATCAGACCACTTTCTTAGGGTTACTATTAGTGGTTTGGAGAAGGATTTTCTGGCTGTGGCCTTTTCTTCCCATATATTCATAAAAGCTAAGAAAAGCTAGATATGGTTTGGGAGACAGTGACTCGCACCAAAGCGTCTTTGTAAATAGAAGTAAAATGCCATTTGCAGTTCTGAATTGGAAGAGTATGTATTTGTTCTCTGAGTGGTTAGATTAGAGGCTTTGTGTGAAGTCCAGCAAGATAGCTTACAAAATCAGCAGGATAAATTTAAACCTGAGGTTGAGAATACTGGTGCCTTTCCACTGGTTTTGGCTAAAGAAAATGTTTAATTATGCCAAAAAAAATAAATTTTAGAAAAGAAGGAGTCTTCAGGATAATGACTAAAACATCCAAGCCACTGTGACTTGCAAGACCAGATAGACATTAGCCATTACAACTGAACTGTCCTTCCTCTGGTACCTGTGCCAAAACAGGTACATCAGAATAATGCAGCATTTCAAAAGCAAGGTTCCAGAAGGCTGGATGGGCAGAAAAGACTGCATGTTCCTATGTGCCGTTATCAAAAATACACGTTTTCATTACACTGAATTTCCTTCACTATATTGCATAATGCCTGAAGATCAGCAAACACGGTGGATCCTCCCTTGCTCAGCACCATGGGAATTTGTGACCTGGCCCTAAATAAGGGTTAGTGCTATTGCAACAAATCTCATCGCTGTCACTGCCACCGCTGTTGGTTACCCTTTTGAGTGTCATATGTTGATTTTCATGAAGTGCCAGTAGAATAAATAATGACACGTAGGGCCGTAGCTGCTACACCACTGCAGTTTCCTCATGCTTGGGAATTTCTGCAGCAGTGTCACTTAGAAGGAATGGTACCACCCAACTGCCTGCACAAGACAGACCTGCTGCTGCGCAGGGCATGCACTAGTGTGAGCCTCAGAAGCATCCTGACACACAGCATTTAGCCCGCTCAACATACCCTCCCAGTGCTCCATAAAGCAACCACCGCAGGAGGAGGTGTAGATGCAGATTTGGAGAGCTCGAGAATGCTCCTCAGAAAGGGTGGGAATCGACAATGTTCACGTTTTATCTTCTTTTGCTCAGTCCTGCTCACAGAAGTGCAGGAGCTGTGATTTATTCCATTAAAACTGGTCTTAGAATATGAATTGGTAAACTTGAAAGTATTTTCTTCAGCTTACTGACTATCTACAATACATATCGAGGAGGTCGTATTTCTGTCATACTTAGAACAGTACCAAACAAAAGAAAGCTACTAAGATAAAAGGTTTACATTTGTAATGTAGGAGTTATTCCTGTCTTCCTATTCTTCTGACCAGGTGTTTTAAGGGATCATGGAATATAAGATTTGTCATCTTGTTTAAATTTTAATAATTTCCTAGTTACATCATCCACTTCACTGCACTTCAAATTTTAACCTGCTGTCATCCAAAGCCTAAGCCTGAAGAGTGTTATAAAAAGCAGAAGTTCTCATGAAGTCAAGTAACACAGATGCTGTAGTATTTTCATTACTTCTTTAGAAATATTAAAGTTTTATTTTTCTTACTAGTGCTGTTGCTTTGTGTATGTTTTGCCAATTAAATTTTGCTGAAGCTTTTGTCACTGATCTTAAAGGAAGCATGAAACTATGCCAAAAATTAAATTTAAATAACAATCCTAAATGTACATTCACACAGAAGACACTGTTCTCAAGAAAGTCCCACATCAGGTCTAAAGCTGATTGTAGGAGTTGCTACCTTTTTCCCTGCTCACTCAACGTTAGGCTTCATTCCTCTGTAAAGTGCCCAGTGGTGCCATTCTTGGGTCTGTAACTAATGATACTATTCCTGGGCACAAGAGGTGCCATTATACAACACGGACAATATAAATCTACAATTAGTGCTGCTTGGATTTATAATAAAGTATCCTTTATGAACAGATGTTGTGGGCCAATGATTCATACAAAAGTGCTGGGATTTTGGATGGATTTTTATTACTGCTTGGTCTCTGTGAATTACATCTTCTCCTATCTCAGATCTCACTCTGCTCCGTAAGGTACCCAAATCACATGGGTTACACTGTGACACAGCTGTCATAGCGCTCAACCTTTGGCCCACAGTGACAGGACGAACACACCTGAACAGGCTTCACTTGCACAGCCGAAGGTCATGTTGTGTAAGTAAGAGGCAACAGTACAAGAAGGCAGAGTGCACATCTGCACAAAGCATAAAGAAGTGTAACATCAAGAACATTCCTCTTCATTTTTGCCACCTTTTAGAGAGGAAATCCTTCCACTCACCCATTTCCTTGTCCTCCTGGACTCTTCTCCTTTCATTTTCGCACGCCTGCATCCATCTGTTTTTATCCTCCTGTTTCTTTGCAAAGAACAAATGAATCTCTCCTGTCCCTCTGTTTATTATCTTAAAAGCATTCTTAACATTAATGTTAAAGTCTCTGTCTCTGCCATCTTCAGTGTCCACAATTTCCATCTCGTCCATGTCAAGACGATCCTTATAATACAAGATGTCCCTTCTCAGTAAGTCCTTCTTGCAGAACACAAGCTGATGGTCAAAAAGGAAGAAAGTCCTCTGCTGGCTTTTGCCTTGCTTTGATATTTTGGTCAGTTCTCCTGAGTGGATCAGTTCTGAGCTTCTGGCTAACACATCTGGTCCCTAGGAAGATACATAGTAATAGTAAGTAAATAGTATTTTAAGATCTTACACCGTGCCTAACCACTCTTATTTTATAATCAAGTCTTAAGTTCACTTGTTTCTTGTATTTTTATTATTAGATTTGAAAATGTCATAGAACATAGATAATCTCATACAGGTAAACTTGATTAATTTCGTTCTGCTCTATTTTATTTCTGCATAAATCAGGAGGAAACTCATTAAAGCCAGTAAAGCAGATTCAAGTTCTGATAGAACAACTAAAAATTCAAAGGAGGTTCTATAGGTCACGCATTTTTAAAAAAAAATCAATTTTGTCATCTCAGTCCAGTATCATCTCAAAGACAAGTGTCCATGTTAATACACACTGCTCTTCCCCAGTAATAAACAAGGTAATCAGTAACAGAATCACTGCAAATGGAGCAACTGGACTTTTAACTCATCAATGACCCATTGAAAAGCAGACACCATAAACTATGTACTACTCAGAAAGACCTATCTTGTAGAGGACATCAAGTACTGTACACAGTATCTTTGCACAGGAAAGGGTCAGGCTGACGCTTACCTCCCAGTCTACGATAGAGACTTGCCAACGCGCAATCTTGTCAATGCTTTCTAGTCTTCGTTTTCGCTCGTTGATCAGGCATGCTACATTCTTCATAGCCTCATATGCAGCTTTGATGTTGTTATAATCACTGTGAAATACAGGCACGTTTCAAAGGTCGCTTACGCAATGGATATGATGCAATCACAAACTGTGACACAGCGCTTGAAGTATTAGCCCACATTACTTATCTATCCCTCTACTCAGGGTACTTAAATAAGAGAAACCTGATTCTCAGCTACCCTGAGCCTCACATGGTAGTTCCTACAATGCACTGCTGCTGTACTGCTAGGCCTTGTCCAGCAAATTGTTTAACTGGTAGAAGAAGGCAGAGGAGGTAATTAGCGAACTGAAATGCTGTCTATACTGAAAACAATGGTAGAACTCACATGGACCTCAGTGACACCTACATTTCACCAAAGGAATTTGTTTTTAAGCAAGATTTTAATGGGATTTTATTGGGAAGGACATTCCTTTAATCATGTTTTAACAACTGTATTTTCTCCTTCTTGTCTTGTTCCAAATGGCTTAGGTGCACAGGCACCAGAGAAAAGAATTAAAGGAGACAACGCTGACGAAGTGGTCTGTTTTCATTGAACAAGTGCATGAGATCAAGGCTTTCACCTTCCCCTGCCCTGGTCCAATGCAAGCCTCCCGTCCTTCTATTGCTCTACTCCCCTCCTTCTTTCCCTGAGCTCCCCACATGATTATGAATGTCCTCAACCTGTAAGCAGGTTTTGATCCCTCTTTGTATAGCATCCATCACCTTCCTTACATGGAGTCTCTGAGAAGAAGGAAGGAAAGAGACTTATTTCTTGTTTTACGAGTCCCAGCAGAGCAGTTGCCTTCCCTCCTTTATCAGAACACCTCTTGCAAAAAAGGGGACCCAGAGGCAGAAAACAGCACAAGCCAGAAATAAACCCTGCAAAGCGGTCAGCCTTGCTCTCCTTTTTATCTGCTTCTATCTTGGTTCCTATTTTCATCAGCTGCTGCTGATGGATGCACTTCCCTCCTAAATCTGCACGTTACTCCACTCTCTCTATTTGTATCTCTGGAAACTCTTTGCTGCCACACTGTATACAAACAGTGAGATTAACAATAACAGCTTCCTATTAACATCGGGGAGATGTCCCACAGGGTGGCCACATGATATCCAAGCTGCTGCTCTTGCCCTTCCTTATCTCAGTTCCTTCTTTCCCTGCTGGTGGGTGGGTAATTCCTACTTGCTGCACAACCTGTGGCCTTCATGGCAGGCTGTGCACATCAGATCTTCAAACTCTTTATGAGAGTAAAACAAAAAGCTACCAAAAAAAAAGTTGGCTGGAGCTTTACCAAGTGTGGGTGTGGGCCTGCCTGTGTGTGAGTATCTCTGCACACTGGGCACCTGTCTGTGCTTGTAGGCATCTCTGGACCACAGAACTGAATGGAGGCTTTTCACATCTGAATGTTAGCACTTCACATCCTCTGTACATCGGCTTCTGGCAAAAATCCCTTCATCTCCAAGAGGAGGTTTCTCAAGGTTAAAGAAGTGCAGACTTTGGTGTGAAAGCATTGCCTCAGGCTGCATTTGGACTCTGAGCACAGGAGTCACAATGGAACTTTTTTCTTGCAATTGTACAAGGTAAAAAGGCAGATACTTAAAGATAAAATGTTAATTTAGTCGAAGAGCTAATCAGCTATGGGGTGTACCAGAAAAGCTAATAACCTGCAACTTCAATTCTCATTTATACCAGCTGATAATCTAATGTCTGGACTTCATTGCAACAAAGACAACGTTTATTACTAGTAAATTAAAAAAAACAACTTTCAAACTTGTTCAGATTGTGGGGTTATATTAAGGCCCTCTTTACCTTTTCGTGTATCCGCAACATTTATGTAGCTTCTTCCTTTCTTCTGTTGATCTCCTTAATTTCTTTGACACATTGGCTTTTTCTCACTCTGATTTACACAACTCTCCCTGCATCCTGTTTCAGCACCTTTTCCTTTCCTTCTCTCTTTCACTGATTCTTCATTCTGTCTTGCATTCTGTCAGTCCTCTATGCTACATTTCAGATGCTCCTTTTCTTAATATTTGTGATGGTTTCAGGATGCCTATGTATTAAGGAGCTCCCATCTACAGTAGTCTATGAGAGTTTCTTTCCTGATCTCAAAAGCCTCAGTGTTGTAACACCCAGAAAGCCTGAGTAATTAGCTGTTATTACAGGTTCTCTCACCTGTGCTCCTGAGTGGTGTATTTGAGCAATTCTGCAAGCTGCAGTGGGTATTTGCAGATTTTCTGAACGGGTGTGAGAAGGAAACCATCGATGGCAATGTCAATCATCTGCTGAAGCAAGCGACAGGCCTCGAAGAAGTGACGGTATTTGCCCTGTTTCATTAGCTTGGAAAGTTCAATGCAGGCACTGGGATGATTGTTACAATATTCTGAATAAATTGCAAAGCCTTCTTGCTACAAAAAAGAAAATAAAGTCAAAGCTTTAACTGAAGCATGTCTAGAAAGGAGGAAATGTATTTTTGTAAGATCTATGGTATCTAATTAGATTAATTAACCCATTTCCTATAGTGTTTCCAGGCTGATCAGCCTTGAAACTATGCAGAAATTGAGTCAGATTATTTTATATTCTAAAATGCTATCTATATGTAGTTTAGCATTTGTTAAGCACTTCTTACTAAAATCCCTCCTAACAAGGTAACTTAGTATTTTCTTATCATGTTTTGTTAATTTCATACATAAAACTGACTTTTGCAACGTACATGTTGAAGAAAACAGGACCCTATTTCACTTAGATGAGGTTCCTCTTTGTTGTACTGTTTCTCAAGATCCTTCAGAAATTTTCTTTGGAACTTGTAAATGTCTTCAATATTTCCAAAAATGGTGCTTAACTGAGCCGTGGTGAACATTCCTGTATGTTTGCGACACTGCCGAATATAACCCTGGAAATAAAACAAAAAAGCCTCTTTAGTTTGAGAGATGTGAGAACAGGTTCTACCCTGAACAAGCCCATTTGAGCTGGCAAAACCCCTGTGACCTATGGGCAGGTAGGTGGTTTCCCAGCCATACAGACACACACACACAGACATGCAATATTTGGATCTGAAATGTTTACACATTGATTCTTGCAGTCCAACTTGTGCCTTACATTACCATGAATGACTCAGGGAAACAAAAACCTACAGAGTGTGTACAGCCCATTTGCATCTTCCTTTTATGACTATCCGCAGGAGGAGGAGCAAAGTGTAAGGCCCCATGCATGCTACTACCTTTGCTGCTGCACTTTTCCATAGCAATTTCTCTGTGTCACAACAGTTCTTCTCTATGCAGACAAGAACAAACCCTAAAACTGTTAATATAAAGACAATTTCTACCACAGTTAAAGTACTAGTTCCTCAAGCGGCAGGTTAGTAGGGAACAGTCTAATCCAGAGAAGGAAAATGCACACAGTATGCTGCTGTTTGGTAAAATCCATACAGTATTGGCAGGAGGTAATAGCATTGGCAAGTCTAGCCATAAAAATACAATCACTTTTCCAGTTTTTTTCTCTTTACTTGTAAGAACATCACGTAAGTCCAGTTCACTTCATTCTTACCCAGTGTTAAGTAGATACCTACCTGAGTCCTCCAGTTTTAAAATACCCTTGGAACAAATGCTGCTCTGCCATCACTAACGCTAGATTGCATTGGCACTTGCATAGTTAAGAAGCAAAGGTACGATCAGAGGCCTCTTAGGTCTGAAAGACGTAGCACCAGCCACCACACACTGCCACGTGCACTTCCTCAGGTACCCAAAGCTGAGCAGGACGAGGAGGATACAGTGCAGAGGCTGGATATCCAGAACAGCTGCTGGCTGTGCTCATACTTTCACACCAGTGATAGCACCAGGGTACAGAGGAGTGTGAAGGTTAACTGGTGTGATAAGGGTTATCTGCCAGGCTCCTCTGTTCAGCTGCTTTCAGGCAGAGGATCAAATCGCTTTGGGAGCAGACAGCTGTAAAAAGCCTTGCAATATTGCTGGCACTGTTATGAATATTCCTGTCTCCTCCACAGCCATCTGCTGTGAGAGCTGTGCAGTGGTTCTGCTGCAAGCTAGCTACCAGGTTTACTACTGTTAGGAGGATAACTGTGACAAGGAAAATTAATTCCTGTGCAGCTCTTCTAATACAGACTGCAGACACTTCTCAAATGTAAAATGTTTTTCTGGATATACTCCAGCTTCTGGACTGCACCAGCCCAACTGATGCATTCTAGTGCAGAGTTTGTAAATTTGGATTATTCTCTGCAGTAGCTTTTCTAGCTTAGTCTTACGTGAGCATATCTTCAGCCTTATGTCCTGCTTGAACCACCCTGTAGATTCACTCTGACGAAAGCAGATCATCTCTACCCCACATGCTGAATACAGAGCATCACTCCTCTACTTGGGAAATGTGTGTTTGCTCTTTTGTACTAAACTCAGAGGCATATCAGATTTTTAAAAAGAGGTATAGAATATATGTATTAGAGAAAGTTAATTATTAATATCAGTCTAAGAATTAATAGGTCAGTAAAATGTGAAAGTGATGTCCTAGAACTCAGCTAAGCACGGCAGAGACACAGCTGTGTGTACAAATTCCTTCTTGATCTTTTAGGCACACAGTCAAACTTGCTAGCATAAGTAAATAGTCAATCTACATGACAAAACTTACATTTAATATTTAAAAAATAGCCAATTAGCAACCAGCTTTTGTCTTTTTGTTTTCCCTTTCTTCTTTCTTCAAATGCATAAAAAAGGCCTGATGTAAAAAAACAAAAAAAGGGAACCAAAAAACACTGTTGTCCTGTCTACTTTGTTGTCTGTAAAAGAACCTAATGATGAGTGGTGGACTAAAGGATGACAACATGACAAATACAGAGAGAGACTCAGCAAACTAAGGGTACAAAGAATATTTTGGTAGGTTGCTTAGCACCCTTCCAGATGCTAACCACAAATGAAAGTCAAATACAGGTTAAATGCATCACAATCCACGTCAGAAGAGGCAAACTTCACTGAAAAGTATTAAGAAGCTTCTTGTCCAAGTGTGAGCCTCCAACAAAATCTGAACAAAAAGCAGAAAACCCCCACATTTTATGGTTCAAATAAGTGGTAAAAAGTTCTAAATATACTGGACTTCCTTCTCTCATTATTTTGCAAATAGTCAGATAAACAAAGCACTTTTTCCATGTCAAAAGTGGAATGTGGTTTTTTTTTTAAAGGAAACAGTGCCTTGTGGCAGTTAGCAGAGAGGAAAGCCATAAGACACAAGAAGGTTCTGACAAACAGCCTCAGAAGTGCAACTGGGAATATTTTGATATGAGAAACCACTCTGGTTCTCAACTACTATGGGATGTTTTGCTCACATGAGGTCAGCAGAATGCCCTCAGGTTAAAGCATGTACCTCACAGATGTCCTTGAGATGCTTGATATAGACTCGTTCTGTGTTCATAATTTCCTGTATAACATTAGTTCTCATCTGATCCTTGTTTTCAGCTATTTTCTGACGATGCTTGTTACTATCTGCATCTTGTTCTTCATCCTGGATACTACCACAATTTTCTGGCGTTTCTTCCTGATTAACTCGCAGCTGCAGCAGAACAAACAAAGCAAACACTGTAAAGCAGCAAACTTTTACAAAACATGATAAAGCTGTTACAAACTTCTTACATTTAAGAGAGGTCTTGCTACAGAAGTGTTTCCATTCTTATGTTATAGACTTTCCACAACAGGATTTATCTCATTTTGCCCACTGCATGTTCAAATAAAAGTGCTGAGATTTCAGTCTGGTTAAACACATGACTTTCTACTCACAGTATCTGAGAGATATAACGTGTTGCCTGTGTATTTTCAGACTTAAGGATATTTCTGACCCTTACTAGTAGTCTATGTGTTATTTTGGTCAAGCCAGCATACAGTTAAAAATTACAAAAGTAGACAACTCAAATACTTTTAAATAGTTTCCCTCTGCCTCAGTTCCCCATCTGTACAATGTGGATAATCGCACCTCCTTTTTTGACTTTTGTCTGATTGGCCATACTGGCTGGAGATCCAGGAAGGGCAAATGCATGAACCATTTCTTGCACTTTGTGCAGTACTTCAGTGTGGCCCAAGCTTCCTTACAGGCTCTCAAAAAGTACTTCAAATTAATTTCTAACATGTAGTTTAATTTTATACCATTTCAGAGTTATACTGCCATGATAATCTGGCTGAGTTCTGATTAGGAAGTTCAAACTGTGAACTGGATTTCTACACAACATTGTGATAATAAATAAAGCCTTATTTTACCAAGAAATCCCTGCAACACAGCTTTCCCCACTCCCTCATGAAAACTGCCGCCTCCTCTCCACATGCACTGACCGCTCCTGGTTGAGCTTTCTGCTGCCCTCATTTCTGGTTGAGAAATTCTTTTAGTTACAAAAGAGCAATACAAAGAAAGAAGCCAGAGTAAAAGGTGTTAGAGGAGCTAAGGGATCTTGGGGTGTGATTCTCTATTGTTTTTTACCTTGTGAAGTCATTAGGAGTTACACCACTGATGTTCAGGTCCAAAGATGCTGAGGATCAGGCCCTTCACTTACATCAAATGCCATTACCATTGCTCTGTTGCACTCTGCTAGGAATCTCATGTGACAATGGTGCAAAAGCAAGAAAGTCACTCACCCTGACAAAGCTAGCTGGAAACCAGGCCTCCTTGTCCTCGTTTCTTCCCCACCACCAGTCCTTGTTGGAAGCTTCTAGGACTCTAATGACGTCTCCAGCTTTGAAGCCCAGCTCTTGGTCATCCATAGTCACATGGTCCCAGAGAGCTTCTGCATAGACAATACTGCCATCGCTTATCAGCTGCAACGGGAAGAAAACAAGGTTATAAAGGACAAAGGATAAACAATTCACTAATAAATTACTTAAAAGATTAAAATACTTCAATACAGTGCCCACAATTACTCCTACTACAGGATAAAACTAGACCTGTGGAAAACACCCACCTCCCCCTGCCATCATCACAGCAACGCAAAGCCCAGGATGTTACCTCATTAATTGCTAGCTGTTCCCCTCCGGGCTGCAGGTACCTGGGGGTGGCTTGGCAGAGCTCCTCATAACTGTAGTCTTCCTCACTGCCATTGTCGTCCACTAAGGCTGAAGATTCAGTCCCACCATCTGCAGCAACTGAAACAAAGGTGCAACAGCTGTTTGCTTCATCATTTTTATGACTCAAAAAAACGAACAATGCAAGAGAAGTTGCCTTTGTTATCATGAGTATAACAATAACAACAGAAGTGGAGGGCAGCAGACCTCTCAGGAAAATTGCTTTTCCGCCACAAAATACTTTTTACTCTTCTTCATAATCTACTCATTTAGCAGCTGATGAAACTGAAAAATACTCCTTTTTGTGTGCGAAAAATAGAACTGCAGCCATTATTTATTTCTTTTTTTTTACCCAGAGGAAATCTCGAATAACCTGAACCATAAGGGAGACCTCAATGACATTTCCCCCATGGCAGATGAGGTCTCCAGCAGTCAGAGGGGGCTGCTGCCAGTCCAGGGCTGGTTGCTGTCACATCGTCACATCACCTACAGGGATGTAAAAACCTAACACTTCTGCACCCACCCACCTGTGAGAGAGGTGGGCAGTCCATGCTGCAGCCTGTGCTCTGAGCCAGTGGCCACCACCACCCCCACATGCCAGGGAGGCTCTGGCAGCACTGAGATACCTACAGGGAGGCCCGAGGGGACAGGGAGTCTGGACTGCACATGCTGTAACTGCATGAGAAAAAGCTTGTTCTAATTGCCCCAAATCACAAAAAAAATATTGGTTTGACAACTGTATATTCTCTGACCGAAGAGGAAGCTTTGTAAAGAAATAGAGGCCAAAACTAAGATGGGCTTCATCTTATTACACAGCCACATAAACCAAGAGAAACATAGTGTAAGTGACTGTCATTACGTACATGTAAATCTGCAGTTACTGTATAAAACTGTGAGCCCCATTTGGGGTACATCACTGGGTGGTAGATCCTTTTGGCAATCACCTCCGTACTGGCAGGTGAAAAGGACTGGGGTCTGATCTCAGGATCAAGTAATGCTGACTGATTCACAGAATCACAGAATCACAAAACGTTAGGGATTGGAAGGGACCTCAAAAGATCATCTAGTCCAATCCCCCTGCCGGAGCAGGAACACCTAGATGAGGTTACACAGGAAGGCATCCAGGTGGGTTTTGAACGTCTCCAGAGAAGGAGACTACATCCACACTGCTCCCTTTTAGACCCTTTCAGACTCGGTTTGCCTTTGAAAGCCAACTGTAGTGTCCAAAACAGAGCAGGGCATGATCCAGTAATCTAGAAGCATCATGACCAGTGGCCCAGTGCTTGACTGCACTCTCTGGTCCTTGTTAATTTATCTCTAAAGATTTATTCCTATGGCAGGCCCAAGCTATGAATAACTAGAGTCTGAAGCTCATACAGTGCTCAAAAAAGTCAATAAGAATAAAAAATTAAAAATTTAAAACAAACAAACACACAAACCCCACAAAAACCAGAATGGGCTGCTAGCACTGAACTCCTTTTCTAATGGTTACCGTGACCCAGATAAGTTGCCCTGCAGCCTGCAGATCATCTCTCTCACTCCCAAGTGCGAGGGAAGGGACCTTTAAGCTGAGTTACTGCCGCTTCCACCTAGCAAGCAAGGCCATGCATCTGGACCCTGACCCTGCCTCCTCCCTGCCCTGCTTCCAGCCTGCGTACTGCCTGCTGAGCTCTGGGCTCTGGATAGGTGGGAGGTGCCAAGAGATAACTCCTGGCTTTACTCCACTCACCTACACAACAGGCATGCTGTTGCCTTCATATTATTTACCTTATAGGGAGAAACACTTCAACCCCTTCCTCATGGTTGCTCATACCATTACTAGCATCTTCAGTCATTTGAGTATTAATTTGGAAGAGAGATCAAAGCTGATAATTGCACAGATGCACTATAAAAACTTGTAAGCTTTTTCTTTCCTTTAGAAGTGCAAAAATATAGCATAGTCTTGATGTAACAGAACATGGCTATTCGACTGTTCTCTTCTACTCCCAGCATTTTAAATACACGCTCACATTAATGGTATAATCTGCCTAATCAGGGAAGATGCAGAATCCCTACTTAAAAAAAAATATTTTTTTTC